ATTCAACTGAAAAAAAAATTGACTCACCCACAACAGATTTTATTGATCTCTTAATAAAAAATAACAAATCCTGAACATATCTTTTTAATACCTATCGCAAAGATGCAATAACAAATGTGCAATAAAAACCACATTACTGTCACAATCTAAAAGTTATTTATTGTGCTTTAAAAAAGTTTTACCTAAGAGATTTTACATTATGCAGTGAAAAACATATAAATCAAGAGTTGAAGTTTCTGACAGATATGTTTATAGAAAATGGTTATAATAAAAAAACACTTAAAAATATTGTCAGAAAAATTAAAAACAATAAGCAAAATAATAAACAAAACAACAATCAAAACAAAATTTTAAATATTTTTCTTTACCATGGGTACCAAATTTATAAAATAAATTAAAAAAGATATTTAAAAAAACGGGCTATACCCCAGTTTTTAAATCACAAAAAGCCTTCCAGCAGGCACAATGACGTTGAAATTACGTTGAAACAACGTCTCAAACCGACTGCCACGTTAAAACAACGTTGAAATTTGATGGAATTAAAAAAAAATCCGACGATGAAAACTACGACGTTAAAACAAAGTCGATGATTATGTTGTTTCAATGTTGTTCTAACGTCTAATCGACTACATAATGACCATATTTTAACTTTATATAGGTAATATTCGGTTAATGCAAAGTTGATACGACATTAGAACAACGTCAAAACAACGTAACTTCAACGTTGATTTTTATTTTTTATTTTGGTTAAAATCCAATTAACTAAAAAATTATCTCAACTTTAATTGCAACTAAAGAACACAATAAAAAAGCAATAGTTTGCGCAACATTATTATATTTCACGTAAATTAATCAGATACAACTAAATTGCTTTAAGAGACTTTATATAAAATGCAAATGAAAATAAAATGTTTTAATTAAAAAGTTTTATTTAACAATAGTTTCAAAACAATTAGGAATGTTCTTTTGTACCGACCACCACCATTCGATCTATTTTAACAAAGTCAACACCATTCGCATACATATTTCAATAAAGTCATAATTCCTTTTCTTATTTCGGCGACTTTAGCAGACTATAGACGTTTTAATTGACATGACGCTCTCTATAAAAAAGGTATTAGCACAGTTAACCTGCATTATCATTATATATATATATATATATTATATATATATATATATATATATATATATATATATATATATATATATATATATATATATATATATATATATATATATATTTAATTTAAATTTTTTTTTTGTTTAAAACTAACTTTAACTAACCTTTGAAATACATTTTTTGTATTTTTCTTACCTCTTAATTTCGAAAGTTGTTAATCTAAAGGGTTAAGAAAATAATTACACCACATTCTTTTTATATAACATATTTAAAAAGTTCCAAATCGATTAACTTAAGAAAATACATAATCGAAAAAATTATATAAAAAAAGTGCAAGTAATAGTTTAAAAATACAAAAATAATGGTTCAATAAAAAACGTTAAAGTATAGAAAAAAAACATTCAAAATCTTTTCTTTCTAAAACAACTTACAGACAAACAATCAATACCTTGAACTATAGTATGCGGAGTATACATAAAAGCTGTTTTCTTTTTCTTTTTTTGCGTTATAAGAGTAGGTTCTTGCTTACTATTCTGTTGGTTATTTTTAGTTAGATTATATTTTCTTTTGCAGAAGAACAGTAGTGGTTACTATAATAAATAATATCAAAATAAAACTAATAATACTTGAATTAAGTTTTTAACATAAGTTTAAATCTTTTAAAATAGTTAACATTTTCTGATTCTGATTCTATCTGAGTATCACTAGTAGTGGCAAATTCAAATATATCACATAACTCATGATAAGAATCATCATTTAATTTAAAACTATGTTTCAAATATATTATATAATAAAAAATATATCTGAAACACTAACAACAACGTATACAATAAGAGAACATTTTTTAAAACAAGGAAAAAAAGTAATGACTTAATGTTAATAAAATAAAAAAAAATACATTACCTACACAACATTTAATATTGAGCAGCTTAAATATACATTAGTTGAACTGCGGTTGCTGCATTTCATTGAAATAAATTATTACACTTAATGTTGATAGCCAACAAAAAAAACTATCAATTGTATATTCTCTCTATTTCCCTTTATTTTATATCCAAACAGCTCGGATGTACAGTTTGCTTGCTCAACTATACTTTTTAAACTCAAAAAATTTATTTTTTAAAACAACACTTTTTGTACTCATACATAAAATATTTGTTAGTGCAAAATAACAGAAAAATACAACTTTAACTTATACATTATATAAGTGCCTAGTAAAAATTATATTGAAATTTAAGTGTCAAACCCTTGCTTAATGTGGTGACTTTTTAATATAAAAAAGAATATTTTTGACTTCACTACATTTCTTTACTATTTTATAGCCTGCTGCTACAAGGGAGTGCTGCTACATCGACTATCATACAGCCTGCTGCTAAAAAGAAGTGCTGCTACATTAACTGAGGGTTCGGCATGAGGCAACAATCTTTTTTCTTTTATTGTTTCAAATAGTTTTTTGATTGGTTTAAAAAATCTTCAATAACGAGAGCGTAACAAGCAAAAAAATTAAATTATTTTAGGTTGCTTTTATATATATATATATATATATATATATATATATATATATATATATATATATATATATATATATATATATATATATATATATATATATATAATATATATATATATATATATATATATATATATATATATATATATATATATATATATATATATATTACTGATATAACAACTTCACTAATATAAATATATACTATATATATATATATATATATATATATATATTATATATATATATATATATATATATATATATATATATATATATATATATATATATATATATATATATATATATATATATATATATATATATATATATTACTGATATAACAACTTCACTAATATAAATATATACTATATATATATATATATATATATATATATATATATATATATATATATATATATATATATATATATATATATATATATATATATATTACTGATATAACAACTTCACTAATATAAATATATACTATATATATATATATATATATATATATATATATATATATATATATATATATATATATATATATATATATATATATATATATATATATATATATATATATATATATATATATATATATATATATATATATATATATATATATATATATATTACTGATATAACAACTTCACTAATATAAATATATACTATATATATATATATATATATATATATATATATATATATATATATATATATATATATATATATATATATATATATATATATATATATATATATATATATATTATATATATAGTATATATATATATATATATATATATATATATATATATATATATATATATATATATATATATATATATATATATATGTATATATATATATATATATATATGTATATATATATATATATATATATATATATATATATATATATTTATATATATATATATATATATATATATATATATATATATATATATATATCCTTCTTGTTTATTTATATATATATTCTACTTGTGTTTTTTTGTTTCTCTGTTTTAATTTTGTTTTAAAAAAAATATGATTAGATGAATTTATTTCAATAAAATGTTCGGAACCTTTATAAATTAAAAATATCTTTTGTATATTTAAATATATATATTGTGAAGTATATTTAAATATATATTATTAATTTTACTCTTTTATATATTATTGGAAATTGTAAAAATTTATTTATTTATTTTTTTTTCACGAAGGGGCTGGATGATAAGACATTTTGTCTTCTACTTGCCCCAGTCAGCTCATAATTGTATAATTTTATTTGAATATAGGGTTAACATCGTAAAATGTGTCAAATGACGAAATAAAAAAAGTAATATTAAAAAAAAGTAATCAATTATGATACCTTATATTGATTTAGAAGATCGTCTTCCTTTTATGAATTTTATTAAAATAGGGAACAAAGAAGAAGTATTTCGACGCATAAAATTAACCTAGACGAATTATATAAAAAATGCATAATATTAGAAATAGTTTAAATATAAAAATCTTTCATAAAACTTTATTATGATGACCAAGTATATATACTTTGTTTTTATAATAAAGTTTCATGAAAGATTTTCTTTATTAACCTGTTTCAAAAAATACGCAACTAAAGTGTTAATTATCTATACTCAGTAAAAAAAAACGTAGAAATTTTTACCGTGAGGTAGAATATTTGATGTACCTTTAGTAGAATACAATTTTTTTATCTTTTAATGTACAAAATTGTATTAAAAACAAGGTTTTGTTATAAAGTCGTCTACCTTAAAGGTATAATTTTCGGTCTTAAAAGGTAGAAATAATCAATTACTTAGGGTATTTCACATATTCTATCTATAGGTAGAAATTTCCACATTTTGTTTTTAGTGTGTAGGTCAATTATACATTGTATATATTTCTTTATATGCGCAAAAATATATTGATAAAAGTATACTGATATAAGTATAATTATATCAATAAAAATATATTGATATAAGTATACTCTCCAATATACTTTGTGACTTAACTAGATTGAGACTAAATTGCAAGGTGATTTGCTGACTTAGAGTCGCGGTTTGGAGATAAAGGAAGTTGGCTTTAGAAACTTATCTGGAATGAAAATTTTTAATTTTTCATAAAGTTATACTATAAATCGTATTTCATTAAAATTAAAAGAATATAAAATAAGAAAAAAAAAAGGTTTTGAGTAAATACATTTATAATAAATATAAATTAAGATAATAGCTTAAAAGTTTGTGATTAAAATATTGTTAAATTATTGACGATAAAAATTTTAAAGTTAAATTTTGTTTTATATTTTTAAAATTAACTATTAACAAAACGTACATGCCTTTCCTTTATTTTTTTACATTTAAGGTACAAAACTATCAAGTGTATCTATTGTTCTAATCTTTTTTGGAGTTATATTCTGCTTGTTTTCATTTGCTTTTCTTTCTATAATATGTCTCCGACATAAACGGTAAAACTTTTGTAAATTTTTTACTTAGTAATTGTAAAGTAACTACTTAGTATACAGTTTTATTTAGGGATATTTATTTTATTAATTAATATTTTAGTAATTGTTGTAACGACCTGATTATCAGTAAATTTGTTGACCATAGTAAATTTGCTTTTACAACGGTTTACTATAAGCCATAGTTTAGATGATCTTACTAAAAGTGTTTTAATTAAACATTGTCGTTTTTAACTTTTTATTTTTTATTTTGTCTTTCTTATCATAAGAACTTTGCATGTTTATTTGCAGCAAAGTGGATTTTCCTGTTACTGTGCAATTTTACGCAGCATCTCAAAGCGCGGTTGTACAAGGGGTGGCTCAAAATCACCTAAATAGTGTCGATATTCAGATAGGAGTAAACAATTCGACTGATTCAAACATTTTTCATCCTTCAAATGAGATTGGAGTTGACAACGCAGCTCATTTTAACATAGCTCCTCCTCCGTATGAACGATCGGAACAAACACTTTTTGCATCAGCTATTTTTAGTACTGAGTCTCCACCAGAATACTCTAACTAATTTATTATGAAAGAGAAGCTCTATTGATTTGATTAAAAAGTTTGCTTTACAAAGATTCGCAAAAAAATCTTCGTTTGACTAAAGCTAAATCTTCAAAATGTTTAACGAAAAATTTTGCTTAAATAAAGATTTTTTATTATATTAATTTTTATAATATTTAATTTTTATAATAATTCTTTAAAAATATGTATGTATCTTAAGGAAGAACCCATAAAGTACCTACGCTGTAAAACCGCTGATTTAGAACATCCTTTCCCTTGTAAGCACCTATATGAATTTAAACACTCCACCTACCCCCTTATGCTTTCTTGTGCATCATTTATTTGAAAAGCAACCCCCTTCTCCCCAATCCTCAAATTTTCAAATATTTGAAAAAACGTTTAGTTAGTTCGACATATCTCTGTTATATATTTCAATAACAATTTTTAAAACTCGTGAAATTCAATTCATTTCTAAAAAAAAAAAGAGAATTAAAGTTTTTTTTAAGAACTCCAAATAAATGGGGTCATACCGCATACGTACAAACACTGTCTTAACCACCCAATCCTCTTCCCCACCCGCCTTTCTCTCTAGTACGAATTGTGCGTCTTTAGGTAAACCCTGTCCCGCATACCTGCGTACGTAGTTTATGGAAGACCCCTAATGTTAAAGTATTGTTTTGTAATCTTAAAAGTATTTTTGATAATACATCTTTATGAAGCAGTTGTCTCAATAAATTATAGTTTGAATAGATCTAATCTCAATAATATTTTGCCAGTTATCTCAATAGACTTTTTTGTTATAAATATATTGTTGAAAAAACAGAATTTTTATAACAGAAAAGTAATAATCTTTTCTTTTATAAAAAATGTTAAAAATATTGTTTTTTACAAAATGTTTTTACGCCATTTCAATTTGAACATGACATTTTGAAAAAGACACAAGTCCATTTATTAAAACTTTTTAAAGCTAACAAAAAACCATTATTACACGGCTGTTTCAAACCGAGCTTAACGGCTTCTTGTTATTTTTTGAAAATATTGACTTAAGGGGTGTTACTAAAACTTCTATAACTTTTAAAATATTAAAGATAAATTTGTTTTGTAAAAAGAGTAAAAACAACAATAAAATGTTTCATCTTACGACATTTAATGCATTAGTAAAAAAACTTCTTTAAGTTTAAAAAAAAACGCGACAAATGATGAAGTTGGCTGAATTCAAGTAATTTGATGTTACTTTTTATCAAAAAAAAATCAGAAAAATTTATTTCTGATAGTTATTCTCAAATATATTCATTGTTTGACTATTATAAAAACAAAAAAACCTTAATTGTTTAAGAACAGCTAAAACAGACTTTATTGAGGTCTGAAAGCAAACGCACTTTTTGCAAAGTTATGAAAAATGTAGTTAGAAGGGGGATTAGCTGTTAAAAGTTTACATTTTTATATCTAGGAGTTATTGTTTTAGAAACTTATTTTCCTATGCCAATAAGTTCATTGCATTGCAATGAAAAACCACTTTTCGATTTTGGAATATTTAGTCAAAACATTTAAAGCTTAAGCATTTATTTTTTTCTGTGCATACAGTTCTAATAATATGGTGTTAAGTTGTTAATAAATAGACTCACCAAGTCTGATAAAATAACTCATGACTAAATTTGAGTTTAAGCTTTTGAATTAACCTCGCTTTCGGTAATAGAATTATTTTATAGTAATTGAATCTATAGTCTCTTCTCTCAGTAAATAAAATATTTGAATATACAAATAGCTAATTGTAATCTTTTGAAAATTTGTTTTTATTTTTATTAAAAACTGTTTTACAATCAGTTGGTTTACTGATAGGTTCTTTAGGAAGTAAACTATCTTTGTACATTCAATTGATATCGGATTCATACTCATGCTAAACCAGAAAAACAATTGCTCCACTCAAAATTTCGATAACGTTTACAAATTCCTTATTTATTGAACTAAATTTTTACACCAACTTGATATGAGACTTATATTCCATTCTTTAACCAGCGAGGAGGTATGTAGAGCAGAGGTACTGCAGGTAAAACTAACTTCTGGTGATAAACATCGAATGGATATGTAATATATCTATGAAAAAATGTTACATATAATGAAGGACAATACATTTTTTAAATTAAATACACAAACATACAAGATCATAACCAACCAACATACCAGTTGCTCTGATCACAAGTTAATATATAAAAGCTAGATTTTTACATACATTTGATGCAAGACTAGTATTTCAATCTTTAACATGAGCGAAGGTATTGCATAGGTATAAATAACTTCTGAAGATAGGAACCGAATGGGCACCTACCTAATATATAAAATCAATATATTAAAAAATAATATTTTAAACTAACATTACACAGATATTAGAACAAATGAAATTATCTTATATACAAATTAAACATATAATTTATCTTACTTGTAAATAGTTTTTTTTTTGTTGTTGTTTTTAATTTTTTAAACATTTGATGACCACAAACAAGACAAAGACCTTGTCTATAAAATGAATTGTTGCCACGCTCAGAACACACAACACACTTTCTCACCTTAGAGGCTTGAAGCTTCGTATCAGCTTTGCTGTGCAATTCAAAGCGTTTTAAAACAAGATGCAGCTTCTGCTCCTGGTTTCTTACTGAATGCAACAGTCTTAATTCATTATTTACGTTATTATGCAAACACTCTCCCTCCTCTTCACTTAGCAACCCAATAGTTTTATGGAATTTTACAAATAGTGGCACATTAAAAATAAGATCATGCATTTTTCGTGTGATACTTTCATTTAGAAAGCAAGCATGAAACTTAATAGCAGATAAATTTATATATTGATGAAGCTCAGTAATTTTTGCATCGGAACGAAATTTTCGCCAAAAAAGAATAGATTGCAATTTATTAAAAACACTAAACACACGTACAAATCTATTTTTAATTGCTTCATCATCAATAACACTACAAAGTTTATAGTGGTTTCTTAATCCTATTTTGCAATGATTACCTACAAATACATTACCATGGTAAGCTTGTCGCTCAACCTTCATATCTTCAAGAACTTATAAAGAGACATCTCATGAGGCCCTATGCTATTTTTATATTCTTTTTCTAGGTCTTCACACTCCATCTGTAATTGAATATACTCAACGTCTAAAAGTTCTCGTTGTGCGCGTATAAAAGAAATTTTTTCAGAAATATAAAGGTCAAGTTATTCTATATCTTCACCCTGACATGCTAAACACTCATACTTCTCAATGTCACACAATACACTCTTTTCCGAATCACCATTAATTTCACAAAATTGATGAAACAATTTTTAGCACGTACCACATTGCACCCAATCAATGTTACAATCGTATTTTGTAATTAAACATCTAACACTATCACACATTTCTTGCTGTTTACAGGTTATTTTTTTATCGGAGGAGTTTAGAGATAATTCAGAAATAATTTTATTAAAAGCTAATCAACGCGCCTGTAGATTTACAATGTCTACAAATTGATTTCCTAATAAACGTAAAGCTTCTGCTGTTTTAGAACATTTAACGCTTTTAGCAGCCCACAATTCATTTGTTCTCACATTCTCATTATGCGACAAAGACGAAACAGCTTGACAATCAAAAGTCTTACACTCCTTTAACAATAACTTATACAGTTTTAACACAACTCCTAACATAATATGCTAAACAGGTGGCACTACATTATCGAAAGTTATTATGGGGAAAATCACAGGAGCAATAATTGAATTATGAAACTTACCTAAAGTTCTTAGGTTTCCACCTTGTCTATTTTCACACAAGTTCTCATTGTAAGCACTTTTCAGAGATTTTATTGTCCTCCTCAAAATGTTACAATTAGCAGGTGTGTGAGGCATAGAAGCATGGTTTCTTAGAGAATTCAACTTAACTAGGTCTGTAGAAGTAGGAAAGCTAGCAGCTGAACCCTGGTGTTCCAGTACATCATCGATAAAATGAAAATCTCCACCTAAGAACAACCTGACTATTTTGCCTTCAAGCTTAAAATCTGACGACTGAATTCTTTTAATGTCGTTGGCAAAATGCCCGAGAACTAAGGCTAAATTCTCACGACAGTCTGAACTCTAATACATACAAAACAAGTGAACATCGTATACAGACTCTGATGATTTAGAATTGACAACTTCAAAATGGAATTTCATATACTTCCCACCATCATTACCAGCAAAAAGAAACCATACTTCTTTGCCAAAACCAACATTCGAATTAAGGTGGCGGCGTACAAAAAAGATTAGTAAAAACCTCTTCAATATAAGTTGTCAAATTATTGACCATCAGTACAGATACTAAACAAGGTGCTTCATTCGCAGATCGATAAAGTAATATAGACTTCACAGTGACATGTTCTTTATTGACATGCATTGTCCGCTTTTCTTGTTCTTGTCTTACCTTGGGCTCAGATGGGAGAATCCTTGCACCAAGATTACACATAATACGTCTTAGTCTATGGAATTCAGCCGTGGACATCCTTAATTGGCTCTGTAGCTCTACAGCATCAGAAACACTTAACTGCTTAACCAAACCCAACTTATTTGCAACACAACAAAATATTAACTTTTCACAAGACATAGAATCACAAAACAACATAGACAAATTACTTTCTAAATCTGAACAAGCTAATAATCGAAGGAATATAAAGGCAAGTCTAGATCGTCTAGCTGCAGCATGCCTACTTAACTTAGAATAAGGTTTACCATTTCCTAACTTAATGTAGATATATTTTTTACTAACTATAGGCTTTTTAACTGATATATTCTGTGGATTACTTAATTTAAACGCACAAAATAATTCAGAGGAACCTATGTTGTCGTAGTCTAAATAAGAATCAACCACAACTAAATCCTTATCGCTACTAGCAAAACATTTGCAAATTTGGCAACTGTTCTGGCTTAAATCACTAATTTTTGCAATTTTTTTTTTCAATATTATTTGTTTGTAGCAATTTTACGTTTTTGGCACGAGCAGATGCAAATTTACGCTGTGCTGTTTTAATTTTTTTTTTTTTTTTTTAAAGTTGGACCTGCCCCTCCTGTTTTAGCATAGTCTCATACTCATACTCATAGTCTCTAATTGAGAACTTAATGAGATACAATGTGTGTTGAAAGCCCTATTTTTAGAATTTAAATCTGTAATTTCAGCTTCCAACTTAAATACTTGCATTTTAAATTTTTCTGTTTTCTCCATATTTGTTTTATTTTTAGAAGTTAATTGATCAATTTGATTCAGTAGCTCCTGACTGTTATTTAAAGTGAAAAAGTCATCTGCATCTGCTGATTTTTTTTTTTTTTGGGTGGAGCTTGCGACAGTTGCATTTTAAAAAATTCTTCGTTTTTTATAGCTTTAAAATTTTTTTTATATTTCTTTTTTTTGGGTGTTAACTTTAGGCACATTTTATCAAACTCGTCATTACTAGGCATATCAAAATCAATTGGCAAAAGAAAACTCATAAAACTAAATAAATCACTTCTTATTTTAAAGACTGTCATTAAAATGGAAATGACATTGTTACTGATCTTATCTGTCCTAATTAATCGCTTAACGAAAGGAAAGTTACACCTATCTTCCCAACCATTTTTCCATCCAATATGTTGTTTCACAATTTCACTCTCAGTTGAATACATAGTTATCAAAATAATATTGACTTATTAATCAATACTAGCTGGGGTGACCCGTAAAATAC